AGAGAGAGAGAGAGAGAGAGAGAGAGAGAGAGAGAGAGAGAGAGAGAATGGGAATTATTGTCTAATAGATAAGGAGTCTTAGGTTTAGATGGTTAAAAGTAAAACATTTCAGAGCTGGAGAGATGGCTCAGAGGCTAAGAGCTCCTGGTGCTCTTGGAGAGGATTGGAGCCTGGTTCCTGGCACCCACACCTGGCTGTAGCTGGCTCAAGGGGACTCACCACCCTCTTCTGCCCTCTGCAGGCACCTGTGTGCACACACATAACTAATTTAAAAAAAAAAATCTTTAAAAGGCATTCTAAAATAATCTGTGCCATTTTTGTTTTCTGTCCTTGGAAGAAACAAAAAAATCCCACTTTATTTCTGGAATATTCCTTTGAAAAAGATCTCCAACAACAGGTGTTCTGAAAAGTCTCGAAGGCTGCAAACAGCCATCCTTTGAAAGGGCTGGACTGGAAAAAGGGAACTGAGCAGAGCCAAGTCTCAGAGAAAGACAGATGCTACATAAACAGGCGCTTCTGTTGGCGCCTACTGAGCCATCCCGTGTGTAGAGCACCGTGTTCCAGGAGTGTGTAGGTGTGAAGGTTTCCGAAGTGCTCTGATCGGCCAGGCCTGCTGGCCTATCCTTTAATCCTAGTATGTGGATCTCTGTGTAGTCTGGTCTACACACTGAGTGCTGGGCCAGTCAGGGCTACAGAGCTAGGTCCTGTCTCAAAATACAAAGTAAGTAGTATGAAGACATTTTGTAACCCAATTTATATATTATTTATTTGTATAGTGTGTGTGCGTGCGTGTGTGTGCTATATGTGCACATGTTAAAGCATGCATGTGAAGGTCAGAGGACACCTTGAGTCCTCATCTTCCACTGTGTTTGAGGCAGGTCTCTTCTGGTTCACTGCTGTACACTCAGGCCACCTGGCCCTGGAGCTCTGGGATCCTCCTGTCTGCTCCCACCAAGCCGAAGGTGCAGTGGGATTACAGATGCACACACTGCGCATGGGGGTCAAACTCAGGGCCACATGTTTGCAAGCAAGCTCTCCTCCCTCTAAGCTGTCTCCTCAACTCTTTAAAAAAAAAAAAGTGTGTATGCTCGTGCATAGAGTCATGTGTGAATTGCCTTGCCACAGGGCACATGTGGAGGTCAGAGGACACCTCAGTGGCAGTCCTCACCTTCCACCTGATCTGAGACAGGCTTGCCCTGTTCTTTTCTCTCTCTGTACACCTGGGTCGCTGGCCCAGGGTTTTACCCACTGAGCCATCTCCTCAGCCCTAAATTCTTAAACTCAATGAACTTGTTGAAAACTGAAACAACAAAGATCACAGCCCATCAAAATGATGCTTTCCACAAACAAGGTTCATCTGGGAGGCTCTTCACCTGCCTTGTGTCCATGCTGTTATTAGAAGCAGATAAGAAGACACCTTTGCTATGGAGCAGAGAAAACCCCTTCGAATGGTCTTTGTGAGTCACTTGTAGTTGTGTGGAGAGCTTGGTCAGACTGCATTTCAGGATAGGAGGTAGCAAGCCAGCTAGTACAGTCCCCTCTGCTGGCAGGTGGGGCTTTTCTTGGATATAAGGCTCACTAAAATGACCCAGAACCCCCTTGGTCTCTGCTGCCCTGGGATGTTCCTCCTCTATTCTGATGCTCTTGGCCCTGGCACTCCTGCCCATTCGAGGCTGTGTGGCCATTTCTATGCCAGTGTTACACAAGGCAGTCATTTGGAAAGAAATTGGGAATTTCAACTGAGGAAAATGCCGCCACCAGACTGGCCTGTGGGCAAGCCTGTAGGCATTTTCTAAATTGATGATTGATGTGGGAAGGCCCAGCTCACTGTGGGTGGGAGCATTCTGGGTAGATGTCCCTGGGTGCTATAGGAAAGCAGGCTGAGCAAGTCATGCATGGCAGGCATCCCTTTAAGACGTCTGCTTAAATTCTGGCCTCCAGGTTCCTGCCCTGCTTGAGTTTCTGCCCTGACTTCCCTCAATGAAGGACTGTTACTTGGAAGTATAATTATAATAAACCCTTTTCTCCTTGAATTGCTTTTGGTCATGGTATTTTATCACATCAACAGAAACCATATGAGCATAGAAATCATAAGGCAAAGGCCTTAGCTGTTTTCAACAACTGATACCAGACCACGGTTGCCTCTTAACCACCTGCTGATAACTCTCCCTGACAGATATGAAGTAGCTCTCACCTTTAATTCCAGTTCTTGGGAAGCAGAGGCAGGTAGATCTCTGTGAGGCAGAGGCCAGCCTAGTATACAGAGCAAGTTGTAAGACAGCCAAAGCTACACACAGAAAAAAAAAATAGAAAAAAATTAAAGAGCTGGAGAGATGGCTCAGAGGTTAAGAGCACTGGCTGCTCTTCCAGAGGTCCTGAGTTCAATTCCCAGAAACCACATGGTAACTCATAACCACCTATAATGAGATCTGGTGTCCTCTTCTGGCCTGTAGACATACATGCAGGCAAAAT